ATCTTTTTTTTTTTTTTTTTAAGAAGTTTTTGTCTGAGAGCAGGTGCACTCGCTGGAGATAGAAAAACAGAAACAGTGAGACAGAAAATGAGAAATCATTCTCCCAGGGAAAATGGCCACAAAATCCCTTCTTGTGGGATCTTGGGCACACACACACACTCACACACTCCCAGCATGACTTTCAAGCCACCAGATGTGGGAGTCCAGTGACATAACTGATATGCCATCTGCTGGTCCCTCTTTTCACTTCTTTAATTGTTCCTTTAAATGAGCAGAAGTTCTTAGTTTTAATATAGTTCTATTATGAACAGTTTTTCTGGCTGACATTTAGCTTTATGTCCAGTTTAGGAAGTCTCTGCTTACTTTCCTGTGTTTTTCCATCGTCTCCTCCCAGTGAAAGAGTCCCTACAAACTGTATTGTTTTTGAAATAATTATTTTATTGAACTTTCTTTCTTTATTTAAATTTGACTAGAGAGGGACAGAGTGACAGAGGGACGGAGTGAAAGAGAGAGAGAGGGACAGTGAGAAAGCAAGCCACCAGGTTCGGGACTTGAATCATGGTTGGCCATGTGGGAATCCAGCACCCTTAACCACCACACCACCTGCAGGTTACAAAACTTTATTGTTTTACCTTTGACCTTTAGACTTGTCACATCTGGAATTGATTTTTAGAAGCAGTATTTTAAAAAGTGATTTATCTCTTTTCCTTAGCTTATTAACACTTTATTTAAAAATTGTTGGAGAGAATATAGATGTTTAATAATCGTTTGGAAAAATAATGTGTCCAGGAATGAGTTGTTTGTAAACATTTACCCTCAGGTAGTAAGTATAGCAGTTAGGAGGACTAAAGATTTCTAGATTTATAGGGGAGAGACTTAGCTAAACATTTCATAAACTTTTTTTAAGAATTATTTATTTATTTAATTCTATTTGTTATTATTATTTTTTAATTTGACCAGAGAGAAAGAGAAAGGGAAAACGAGAAAGCAAGCCGCTAGGTCCAAGACTTGAACCGTGGTCAGCCATGTGGGAATCCAGCACCTTTATCCACCACGCCACCTGCCAGCCCATAAACTATTTTTTTTTTTTTGTGAGGTTTTTGCTATAGGGTGCATGCACTTGCCAGAAAGACAGAGACAGAGAGACAGAAAGTGAGAAATCACCTCCCAGGGGGATGGCCACACTGCAAGCCCTTCTCCTCCATTCTCCCCTCGGGATCTTGGGCATGCACGCACACATTACCGGCGTGAGTTTAAGCCACCGGGTCCAGGACTCGAACCGCGTTCAACTACATGGGAGTCCAGCAACATAGCCATGATGCCATCTGCTGGTTCCAACATTTCATAAACTTTTAGCTCATCGAATATTTAGAGTGCTCCTGTAAAGTAGATGACATTCTCTTATTTGCAAATGAGAAAACCAAGGCCAGAGAGAAAAATACAGTCACGCAGCCAATAAGGAGGCAGAACCATGGCTTAAAACAAAGTCAGTCTGGCTCTAAAACTCTTACTGTCTTTTTCACTGTACTTTAAAAAAAAAGAAAAAGAAAATTTGAATTGTTAAACTTTCTAATTTAACCTGTTTATCTTAAGTTGCTATGATATTTAGCTCAGTAACATATTTTAAAAGGCCTGTGGAGCCAAATATATATAGACTTTTAAATTCAGATATTTTAAAGGAAGCAGAAGATAAAGGAACAATCAGGAGATCTCTGAAGGTATTGAAGTGGTAATGTGATGCTTGAGAGATTAGGTACCTAAGATTAGGTACTAGTCAGTGGGTAATATTGCAAGAGAAGCTTACCTATGTGGGTGTTTAGTTGCTGTGCTGTAGATCTTTCTTTTCCCATGCTGTGAAATACAGGGGATTTCTTTAAGTTTATTAGGGTCAAAGAACTCATTTTCTAGGGCTCCCTCTGCTAGCTTCCTAGCAGTAATTAAGATATCTAATTGCTCTAATTGTGCTAATACAAATGATGAAAACAAGTTTGGGAAAGATTAATTTCAGGGTACATTATAAATAGAAAATCAATGTAGCAGAAGAAATGTAAATGTAGAGTTAGGGAGATAAATTACTTAAGTTTATTTATTTTAGAATTCAGATTTAGCTATTGAATCCTTTTTGGGTTAAAAGAAGAATATTTTGGATGATACTGGAAACTTTCCACTTCGAACAAATAATTTAAACTTTATACTCCAAGAATGACATGATAAGAATCAGTGTGTAGGGTCAACTTTCTAAATCGGTGATAATATTTCAAAGGTAGCCATCTTTAGCCCTTTTTAATTAAAAGGTAAACTTTTGGCAGCCTGAGTGGAGAATTCTGAAATTGATCAGTGAACTACTTGGGTTCTAGATAGATAAGCACTGTATACCTGACAGATGGGACTTTTTTGAAAAAAGAATTATTTAACTTTATTTATTTGCTTGTTTGTTTGTTTGTTTGTTTATATTTGATCAGAGAGGGACTGAGTGAGAGAGAGGGAGAGGGAAAGTGAGAAATCAAGCCACCAGGTCTGGGACTCAAACCATGATTGGCCATATAGGAGTCCAGTGCCCTTAACCACCATGCTACCTGCTGGCCCCAGATGTGGCTCTTTTTGTCCAGGTAGCTGGGACTTGACTTCATTTTTTGGTTCTGGCCCTCTGGTACCATGGTGAAATGCCGTATATTGGGGGGCTGAATCCCACTTGGCTGACTAGGGTTCCAAACGTGCCCTGGTGGCTTGAAAAACACCCTGGGCATGTGTGTGTGCACAAAAATCTCAACAGGATAGGGAAATGGAGTAAAAAGAATTACACTGTGACCATGCCTCATGTGGGGTGCTTTTTCTACCCACCCCACTCTTTCTGGCACTTAAAGGGGAAAAAGAATAACTCTAAGAGCCACCACTTGATTTTCAGAGTTGTCATTTGAGGAGAAATCTATTTGTTATTTGGGGTTGTAGACTTTTTTTTTTTTTGAGAGAGAGGTTTTCACTATAGGGTGCGTTCGCTCACCAGACAGACAGAGAGAGACAGAGAGACAGAAAGCGAGAAATCACCCCCCCGGGGGGATGGCCACTCCGCAATCCCTTCTCCTCCATTCTCCTCTCGGGATCTTGGGCACACACGCACGCCCGGCGTGAGTTTTAAGCCACTAGGTCCGGGACACAAACCGCGGTCGAATATGTGGGAGTCCAGCGACATAGCCATTACGCTAACTGCTGGTCCCGACATTTTGTTTGATAACATAGAATATAAAACAACCCTCATTTAAGAAAATTGAGTATAAAGAAATGTAACAAAATATGTACTGATTATTTTTCTTTTTTAGTTTTTATTATCAGGTGCATGCACTTATCAGAGAGAGAGAGAAAAAGAGAGAAAGTAAGAAATCACCCTCCAGAGAGGACGGTCACACTGCAGTTCCTTCTCCATTCTCCTCTTGGGATTTTGAGCATGCCTGCACACAGAGGCACCTGGCATGATTTTCAAGCTGCCTGGATCTGGGACTTGAACAGTGAAGTTGGCCAACTGGGATCTAGCCACCTGCTAGCCCTGTGCTGATTATTTTTATTAGAGCTAACACCTTTAAATAATAAATTCCTTTGTTATTTACATAATTTACAAAAATGTAGTGTTATATTTGCAGGGAAACTTTAATAAAGCAAAACCAAACAGTTTTAGTAAGTTAAACATTGAGCTATCCTTGTAATGAATAAGAGTTCTATATTGTGATGAAAGGTAGTAAAATTTGGCTTAAATTAAATAATTTAAAGGTAGCATTAGTTCAAGAAGTAATAAAAAAAATTCTGATTGACATTGGCATCAGAGTGATGTATTCTGGGAACAATCTGAGTTCCATTTTGAAAGAATTAAAATGATTTGTTGGGCCAGCCAGGTGGCATGGTGGTTAAGGTGGCTGAATCCCACATGGCTGAGTATGCGAATCGGGTCCCAGACCTGGTGGCCTGAAAATACACACATGTGTGTGCCCAAAATCACAAGAGGAGAATATAGAAAAAGGATTGTCATGCCTGTCCCCCCGGGGAGTGATTTCTCACTTTCTGTCTCTGTGTCTCTGGGAAGGGCACATGCCCTATTGCAAAATAGATTTGCTACTGTGTAAATGTTGAATAGCTACAACTTTGAGTATGGGTGAATGTTTTGTTTACACAGCCTCAGCATTATTATAACTGTTTAGACTGTTACAGAAATCAGCTGACAAGTAACAATGACAAGTAACAGTGCACACTTTTGTTTTTGTAGCATAGTTTCTGACACTACTTAATAACATCCAGCAGAATAAAAATTCCTTAGTCCATTATGAAAATATTTTGGAAAAGGAAATGTAAAGTGAATTATATTCACTGTTTGCTTTTTAAATCCCATTTCTACAATTACTGACTATTAATATTTTATTACTATAAGTTTAGAACATTTGATACTTTAACTGATTTCATATCTTCCCCTTTATGTCTCCATTATAGCCTTTATCCTGTTTGGTCTTCCGGTAGGGTGACTGGGGTCTGGGTGTCCATATCCATTTCTTCTGACCTGTTCCTTGACAGATCGTAAATGACTTGGCGTCAGCGGCTTTGTTCCTGTTAGCTTTCTGCCTCGCTGGTAGTAGTGAAAGAGTAAATGCTTCAATTTGTCACTCACTTTTAATGATTACCTGTCTGCAATGTCATCTGCTAATTGCTGAGAGCATCACTACTCCCTTCCGTGCCCTCCACCCTCAAAGAAGGAGCAATGTGGAAATTGAACCAAGAGGGAAAACCTTACATAGGAAATGAATCAAAAGAACAAGTGGTGTTTAGGAGCCGAGGGGCATTATTTGGGAGAGATGAAGAGAAATGAGAGAACTACTGTGTACCTATACTTCATTATCAGTGAAATTAATTTGTTCTTTTACTGAAAAGAGATAGAAAAAAAAAAAAAGAGATAGCTAATGAAATTTAGTATACAGTTTTTAATTGCACTTTTTCATTTTGGGCTTTTTTTGTTTTTACAGGTACAAGAAAATTCCCCGGGACATAGAGCTGGACTGGAGCCTTTCTTTGATTTTATCGTTTCTATTAATGGTTCGAGATTAGTAAGTTCAGTTTTTGTGGTATTATCTATAATATTTTGTAGTCTTTTGAAAATGGAATTTTTAAAGTTACCTAGGATAAATGTTTACTAGTTATAGACATATAGAGTATGATGCTAATTTGTAGAAATAATCATGTGCTGGGAACAGCAGATGGTGTGATGGTTATGCGCTGGGCTCCCACATGGTAGACCGTGGTTTGAGTCCTGGACCCTGTGGCTTGAAACTCATGCTGAGCGCATGTGATGCCTACCCAAGATCCTGAGAGGAGAGTGGAGGAAAAGGGATTGTGGCATGGCCATCCCCCTTGGGGGATGATTTTTCACTTTCTCTCTTTCTGGTGAGTGCACGTACCCTATCAAAAATCTCTTTCTAAAAAAAAAAGACAGAAAAGAGAAGAATCATGTGTCAGTAAACAGAGCTAAATCTGAGGGGCAGGCAGCATGGTGTGGGCAGGAGTTGTGAGGGGTGCTGCTGCACAGTACTGGAGACCATGTGGGAAGGCTACTGGTTCACATCCCAGGTCTCCTAGATGCCTGCAAGGCTAGGAGTGGATTGCCAAGTGAAGACCCTATTGAGGGTACCTGTGTCTGTCTCTCTCTGGAAATAAATATTTTTCTTTTTAAATGGTATATAAGGGGTCAGTAGGTGGCACAGTGTTTAAGGTGCTGGACTCCCACATGGTTCGAGTCCCAGATCTGCAGGCTTGCTTTCTCATTTTTCCTCTCTCTCTGTCTCTCTGGTCAAATTTTAAAAATAATAATAAATAAATACATAAATAAAATAATTATGATAAATAAAATTAAATAATTTCTAAAAAAAAAAAAAAAAGTCTGACGTATGTAGGTTGTTGACAAATAGATTAGTAAAACTTCATCCTCAAATAGTTTGTTAATGGTTTTAGAGCTAAATTTCACAACATATAAATAATTTTACTGGAACTGGACAGAGATATATATTTCAAAAGTGCAAAATTAAAAACCATATATAGTTTTAATTATAAATTGCTTTCACTTTACCGAAGTCCTATAGGAAGGAAATTATATTATCTCAGAAAAGAAAATCCTTATGACTATAGCTACTTGGTTGGTTTATTTTTTTTTTTCATTATAGTCTTAAGGGGCCAGCCAGTGGCATGATGGTTAGGACACTGGATCCCACATGGCTGACTGCACAATTTGAATCCCATACCCGCAGCTTGAAAAATGTGCCAGGCATGAGCGTGTGCATGCCTAAAATCTGAAAGGGAGAAATGGAGGAGAAGGGATTGTGGCACGACCATCCCCTTTGGGAGATGCTTTCTTTTTCACTTTCCCTCTATCCTTCTGCCAAGTCGATGCATCTTTTGGTAAAATTAAAACACAAACAAAAAACCTCATAGTCTTTGGCCAGCCAGTGCATGGTGGATAATGTTGCTGGATACCACATGGCATTGTCTGGAGTCCTGGACGCTGCAGCTTAAAAAGAAAACACACACCGGTCACGTGCCCAAAATCCCAAAAGGAGAAGTAGCACAGAAGAGGCAGTGATGTGACCATCCCCCTTGGGGGAGGCTCTCTCCCTTTCCTTCTCTCTCTGTTTTTCTCTGGTATGCACATATGTCCTTTAGCAGATTTAAAAAAAAACAAACTAATATTTATCAGCAACACCAACATACTGGTCTTTAGTCCTTTATGTAATGAATATTTATAGACTGGTTCCATTTTCTTTTCCTTCTAGCTCATAACAAATAATAAAAAATACAGAAAATATACAAGTAGGGTCCAAAATTAAACTTTAACCCCAGCAGATGTTTTAGATTTGAAAACCAAAGCCATTGCAACTTTGTTAGTAATGTGACTTCCTTTGTTTTATTTTTAATTGCCAGAAGGTACATGCATTCATCAGAGAGAGAGAGAGAGAGAGAGAGAGAGAGAGAGAGAAAGCACCGCACTGAGGTGTGGTCACTCTGCAATCCCTTTTTCTCCATTCTCCATCCCATCGGGATTTGTGGCACACATGCACACCTGGTATGTTTTTCAAGCAGCTATGGCTAGGTTGGCCATGTGGGATCCAGCTCCTAACGCACTGCACTTCACCATTGCACTTGGGGCCAGCTCAAGTACAATAATGTGACAACTTCATTTTTCTTTTATTCTTTTAAAGAATTATTATTAGGGGCCAGGAGATGGCATGTTGCTTAAGGACTCTGGACTCCCACGTGGCCAACCACAGTTCGAGTCCCTGACCTGGTGGCTTGCTTTCTTACTTTCTCTCTCACTCTGTCTCTCTCATCAAATTAAAAGCAAATAAATAAATAAATAAAATAAAGTTAGATTTAAATAATTCTTTTTTAAAAAAGAATTTTATTCATGTACTTCTTTTTTTTTTTTTTTAATTTTACCAGAGAGAAACAGAGTGAGAGAGAGCGAGAGAGAGAAAGGGACAGTGAGAAAGAAAGCCATCAGATGTGGGACTTGAACCGTGGTCAGCCATGTGGGAGTCCAGTGCCCTTAACCACCATGCCACTTGCTGGCCCAGTAATGTGACTTCTTATGGCATATTTTATTTTAAATCTGAAACTCTAGGTCACTCTGAATAATGTAGAGTTGCTCATCTCATGATCCATAGACAGCTATTAGGAAACAGTTTAAAGCTGTTGTTTATGAGAGCTGTTCTTGATTTCTTGAAATTCTTTTGCATGGAAGAATATTTTAATGTTACTGATACCTTTGTCTGTTAAATGTTTATGTTTGTTGATTATTAATATTCTTGTAGAGCGATAAGGTGCTTAAACTAAGATTAGTTAACATTAAATTTTTATTTATTAAAGATTATGATATTTTGTGTGTTCACAGAATAAAGACAATGATACTCTTAAGGACCTACTGAAGGCAAATGTTGAAAAGCCTGTAAAAATGCTGATCTATAGCAGTAAAACACTGGAGCTGCGAGAGACTTCAGTCACACCAAGTAACATGTGGGGCGGCCAGGGTTTGTTGGGAGTGAGCATTCGCTTCTGCAGCTTTGATGGGGCAAACGAAAATGTCTGGCACGTGTTGGTAGGTATCAGCCATAGGCTTTATTTATTTATTTAGTAATTATTTTATTTAACTTTATTTATTTATTTTAATTTGGCCAGAGAGGGACAGAGTGAGAGTGAGAAAGAGAAGGAAAGTGAGAAAGAAGCCGCCAGGTTTGGGACCTGAACCGTGGTCGGCCATGTGGGAGTCCAGCACCCTTAACCACCACGGGTTCCCAGCCATGGGCTCTTAACTTGCAGTTTAAGTAGTACAGAAGGGTGTTTTAACAAACACCTTTGTTAAAGTCTGGATCCCACATGGCTGACTGCGGTTCAAGTTCTGGATGTAGCATGCCCAAATCCCAAGGGGAGAATGGAGGAGATAGGATTGTGGTGTGGTCATCCCTCCTGGGGAGGGGATGATTTCTCACTTTCCCTCTCTCTGTCTCTGTCTTATGGCAAAGATTAAAAAAAAAAAAAAAAGTAAGGAAGAGAGGAGCAAATAAACACATGTAAGAACTGTTTTTCTAATGACTTACTTATCCATTAGAAAATACGTTAAAGCCGGTAACTATTTTAGAAATATTTAAAATATTTATTAAATAGTGTGTAAATTTTTAAATATATATATAGTTTCTGACACCTCTAACAAAACAGAAATGATAGTGGGTTTTAAAGTCACTGTAATTAAGAATGTGAGTATAAAACTTAGGTGATTATTTTATATATATTAATTTGGGGATTTTTGTTTTGTCATCCTAGGAAGTAGAATCCAATTCTCCTGCAGCACTAGCAGGTCTTAGACCTCACAGTGATTATATTATTGGAGCAGATACAGTCATGAATGAGGTAATTGATGTATTTATTCATAATGAAAATTATGTAACATTTTTTCAGTGATTTCTGCATTCAGAAGGAAATTTGCATATTTTTCATTTAGAGTTGAGATTTAGTCTTTGCTTACCAAGGTAGTTTATACATAAAATATTAAATGGGATATCTGGGAGGTGTCTTACTAGGTGTAGCTGTGAGGAAAATTACATGCTATGTAGCAGTTGTACTGATTTCGTGTGTGATACCACAGGGCTAAATCACATCCTCACTTTGATCACTGATTTACCTTTTTCCCCCTTTTTGCTTATTTTTGGTTAAAGCAGAAATTTATTAAAATCCATTTATATAGTATTTTACAGACCAAAAAAAAGGGAGAATCTTCAACATTCAGGCATTCAGGCAGTCAACTCCATTCTCAGAAATGCTTTATGAGAAAATAGATTTCTTTGCTCTCCTCCCGTAAGATACTTCTATTTATATGCCTGAAAATGATGCTTTGAATTATACCACCTTTGTAAGAACAGTCCTTTTGAGATCCCAAGACACCATCAGAGTGAAGAGAGATTAGCAGAGACCCTTCTCCAAAATGCAGTCCCTCATGTCAGAGGAGCAGTGCAAGAGATGCTAAGGTGGCAGCTTTTCAGAGGAGTGTGGGGACCTCCAGCAGGCGGGCCATGAGGAGAGCCCGAAGCCCAGCTGGGCGGTCCCTAGCTGCGGAGTGTGGCCAGCCAGGACTGCGTGGCTTCCACGGCGTCTTCCTCTTCCTCATCCTCCGAGGCAGCCATGGCCCCTGGAGGCACAGACTTCTGCACGGCATTGGTAACTTTACTCCGTACTTTGCCTGAGGCCCCTGCTGTAATTTCGAACAGAATCTTGTCAGTTTCCATTTCTGTTTCTTCCTCCATTTCTTCCTGATCGTCTATGCTTTCAAAAGTGTCCTCTAACATATCTTCTGTGACCCCAGCCTTCATCACCTCCTTGGTCAGCTCCCGCATGGTGGCCTGAATTTCTGGGATCTTCACAAGATGGCCTTCATCACTTCCGTGCTCTTCTGCAGGGAGCCAGCCACTTGCAGGACAGCGAGCTGGTTCTTCATCCCCATGAGCACCGAGTTCACGAGCACTTTGGGTGCATAGAGCTTGCCCACAGCCTTCCTTGACCTGGTCATCTCTGGCCAGAACCACACAGGCATTCATTCTTCTGACCCTTCTTGGCAGCATCTTTAACAGATCATTTCACTTTTTCTTCTTCCCTTTGGATATCTCTTACTTGCCTGTCAACAACTCTCATTTCCTTTACCTTCAGTGACCATTCTTTGGGCGGCTCCTCCTGGGTTTTTCCAAACAGCCCTATGGTGGACTGAACTCATCTCGCCTCTTCTGGCTTTCCATTCCCTGCACCTAGGCAGGTCACAGGCAGCCGGCTGGGCTGGGCCAGTGGAGCCCCTTTTTGCTTTTTAAATGACAAAATTAGCTCAGCTCTATTAGATAGGTCCTTTTCCTCATCTGTTAGCTAATGGAAGTATACCATGCAAGATCAAAAGGAGAGGAAAATAAGATTTCCAGATGATCTTTTTTTTTTTTTTTTTTTTGAGAGGTATAGCTCAGGGGTAGAGCATCTGACTGCAGATGATCATTTTTTAACAAAGAGTAAGAGCAGATGATGTAGGGAGTCTAGCAGGTAGCAAAGAGGTTCATGTGTTGGATCCCACATGGCGAACTGTGTGCCCAAAATCCCAAGAGAATAGAGAAGAGATTGTGGCCTGGCCATCCACCCAAGGGGTAATTTCTCTTTTTCTCTCTGTCTTTTCTTCAGTGAGGGCATGCACCCTGTATCAAAACTAAATTTTTTTTTTTTAGATTTTTATAAAGCAGATTATGTGGAACTTACTAAAAATACTGACTAGGTACTTTGGAACTGGGCACAAGGGCTTTGCACATAATAGGCTTTGCTTGAATCAATATGTTGAATTATATATTGAATTAAACCTTTGGAGTATTAGTCCGGTTATTTTTAAAAAGAACTATTTATTTTATTATCATTATTATTATTATTATTTTATTTGCCACAGAGCATGTGCAGTCACCAGAGAGAGACAGAGAGTTAGAGGAGTGAGAAAGCAAACCACCAGGACTGGTACTCAAACCATGGTCAGCTATGTGAGAGTCCAGAACCTTAACCACCATATTACCTGCTGTCCCCAGAGTATCAGTTTTAAGAAATGATTTCTATGTCTGGGGTAAAGCCCAGAATCTGTATTTTTAAGATAAATTCCCTAGGTAATTCTGATAGTAACCAGATTTGAGACCCACTGTTCTAAGATACAGTATCATAAAAACATTTTTCTCCTATGGTGCTTTTGCAGTCTGAAGATCTGTTCAGCCTTATTGAAACACATGAAGCAAAACCACTGAAGCTTTACGTGTATAACACCGACACTGATAACTGTCGAGAAGTGATTATTACCCCAAATTCTGCGTGGGGTGGAGAAGGAAGGTAAGGTCATTTTCTAGGCTCACTTATGACTTACCAGACAGATGTGCTGTGAACATCAGTCAGTTTTATTTTGAAGTAAATTATTGGTTTGTTACAAGACTCCTTTTGAGGAAAGAAAAAGAGCTGACCTAGAATATCGAAGCCAGTAATTCAGTTTTTTAAAGCACATACCTAGGGGACATGGACTGTATTTTGTAGTCCTTTTCTTTACTGGTCCAACAGCGGTAGTATTTTTTTTCTTTAATTTGACCAGTTATCCAGTGTAAGCCATAACTGTACAAAACCTGAGTTTGGAAGTTCCAGCTGTTTCTGAAGACAGGATGACAGTCACTTTGGCAGGAAAGCCTTTGCTCATAGTATCTTTTCCCACACTATCTGATTCTTCAGGTGAATGTATTTCCCCACCAGAACTCTTAACTTCTTGGGGCCAGCAAGTGGCCTGGTGGTTGAGGTGCTGGCCTCCCACATGGCCGACCGTGGTTTGAGTTCTGGACATGGTGGCTCACTTTCTCACTTTCCCTCTCTCCCTCTCTGTCTCTCTGTCTCTCTCTATGGGGCACATGTGCCCCATAGCAAATTAAAAAATAATAATAATAAATTAAATTGATAAATAATTAAAAGCCCTCTAACTTGTTAAATTTACAAAAACTCAGATAGAAGTATCAGTTAATAATTTGGGGCCACTTTGTGGCTTGGCGGTTAAGGTGACTGGATCCCACATGGCCTACTGTATGGTTTGAGTCCCAGACCAAGTGGTTTGAGAAATACACTGGTGTGTTGTGCTTGTGTACCCAAAATCCTGAAAGAAGGAAGAGATTGAGGAGAGGGCTTGTGGTGTGACCATTCCCCGTGGGAGTGCTTTCTTACTTTCCCACTCTTTCTCTTTCTCTGTCAAGCACAAGTGCTCTCTAGCAAAAAAATAATAATAATAATAAAGTAAAATAATTTTTTTATAAGAAGAATCTGGCCTCTCTGGATCAATACCTGATCAAGTTACAATTGCCCATTGTCCATGTTTGTAGTAATCCAGAAATAAGGTCTTTTCAAGGCATTTAAATTTGATTCATTTTGGAGAGTCTATCTCATACAAACTGAACTTAGCAGAGATGCTGCCAGATTCATTGGGGTGGTAATTTTTTGATTTGCCATAGACAGATACCTCCTTTCCAGTTAGAATACTCAGGTGATATTAGCATGGGAGTGCTAGTGAGCATGGAATTAAAGTGCAAGGAAGAGATTCTGTGGATGGTAAAATCCACCAGCAAAGACCATCACTTATGCTATTATTTCATTTTTAGCTTACATTGATTAAATATTGCTACATTTCAGGGGTTTTTTTGGTTTTTGAATTTTTTTAAGGTTACTTTTTTGGGGGCACATGTGCTCATCACAGAGAAAGTGAGAAATCACTCCCCAGGAGGGCTGGCCATGCCGCAATCCCTTCTCCTCTCAGGATTTTGGGCACGCATACACATGCACCTGGCATGATTTTCAGGTCTCTGGGTCCAGCACCTAAACCATGCAGTTGGCCAAGCCATGTGGGATCCTGCACCTTACTCTCCACACCATCTTCTGGTCCACATTCTAGTTCCATTTTTTTTTTCCCCCTCTTTTTTTGGAGAGGTTTTTGCTGTAGGGCGCGTGTGCTCGCCGGACAGACAGAGAGAGACAGAGAGAGAGAAAGCGAGAAATCACCCCCCAGGGGGGATGGTCAGGCAGCAATCCCTGCTCCTCCATTCTCCTCTCGGGATCTTGGGCACACACACACACGCGCCCGGCGTGAGTTTTAAGCCACCAGGTCCAGGATGCAACCCGCGGTCAACTACATGGGAGTCCAGCGACATAGCCATTACACTAACTGCTGGTCCCCACACTCTAGTTCTTGAAGCCCTTCTTTTCTAGACTCATGGCAATTTTTTCTTTTCTTTGGGAAACATTTTTTCCTGAGTCTACCTCGGACAATGCATTTGGCATATCTGTGCCTGTGCTTTTCATTCCCTCCACAGAAGCTGACCACATTTCATTCATCACATCACATGTCTCTTGATGTTATTCTTAAACTGGCTTTAAGCTATTGCCTCAAATGCCTTCTCTCCCACAGTATAATTATTTTGATTAATAATATCTTGTTTTAATATGTGGGTATCTCTGAAAAGGCTCTCCTTGATTAGTATAAATTATTTCATCTTACTTTCTTCCTCTAAATCTATCTGAAATGCTATCCAGTGAGGATTGCAGTTTGTTTGTTGTTGTTGTTTTAAATTTGCTGTAACACATGTGTGCTTGCCAGAGAGAAAGAAAAGAGAGAGGAAAAGTGGGAAATCACCCCCCCCACTCCTTCCCACCCCCACGGGGGACAGCCATGCCACAGTCCCTCCTCTTCCGTTCTCCTCTCGGGATTTGGGGCACACAGCACAAGTACCTTGTGTGTTTTTCAAGCTGCCAGATTCAGAACTCAAACCCTGCAGTTGGCCATGTGGGATACAGCTGCTTTAACCACTATGCCATCGACTGGCCTGAGAATTGTAGTTCCGATGGCAAGGGAAGAAGAAACAAATGGTTTTGTGAGAGGAAACATATGGGGCAAATCAGATTAGGGTAAGGAAGAGCTGGTTTGGCCACTGCCAACTCACCCACTTTTGGTGATGATGGTGCCCGTGAAGATAATAGATGCTTTGGCACGGGCCTGCTAGGAAATAAGAAAAGATCACGGTAGAGAGATGGGTTGGAACCTGATTGTGTAGGACCTAAGAAACTTGGTTTGGAATTTGAATATACTTTTTTCTAGTTAATTGCTATAGGGCATGTGTGCTTGCCAGAGAGAGAGAGAAAGGAGAAACCATACCCAATGGGATGTGTTCACACCACAATCCCTTCTCCATTTCTCCATCCTGTCAGGATTTTGGACGCACACATATATGCACCCAGCATGATTTTCTAGCAACCAGGGCCAGGTCAGATTGAGCTCCCTTAACCATTAGGCTATGGGATAGGCATTTTTTTTTTTTTTTTAAAGTTTATTTCTTTCATGGGAGAGAGTGAGAGAGCAAGTCCATATACAAAAGAGAGAGAGAGATGGACACACGGCACCCTCACCATGGTCTCATCATGACGCAGTCCCCTTACCCCAGTGCTCCACCTAGTCAGGATCTTGAGCACGTGTGCCTCGCATGTTTCAGTGTACTGAAGATCCAAACCCATGGTTGGCTCCGTGGCTTCCAGCATTGCAGATCAGTATGCCTCCACCTGCACCACCAAGGCTGGCCTAGGAATTCAAATATTCTTTGAGCGAGAGAATATGACGTTGTATCAGTGGGGTTCTTTGGTTCCAGAGAGTAGAAACCAGCTGTCACTATCATAAGCAGACTTGAACTTACTGATTTGGATTAGCCCCTACGTATAATCAGAGAGGCAGCTAAAGAGCCAGACGTGGGAAGGGCCGGACTCCTCGACACCTCTAAGGATTTAGAGAGGAAGAACTAATTAGCAATTTCAAACACATTCTACTGAAGGGGTGAAGTCATTTTTGTTTTTTTCTGTCACTCTCAAGTTTCTCAGGCCCAGGCTTGAGACTGATTGGCCTGGCTTTGGCCATGGGGCCACTCCCTTGGTTCGAGCAGGGCAGAGACCCTGATTGACAGTCCCACCTGCACCACACACAGTGACAGGGCAGAGAAAGGAGGAAGGCATGTTGGGAGCCCAGCCGATCATAGAGAGAAGCAGTGTGATCACAATTAGAGAGGTGCCCGGTAGCAGTAGAGGATGGATTAGAAGGACTCTGGACTAAACATACTTGACTAATTCGTGTCAGGTTCAGAATCAGAGCTATGGGATCTGTAAATGATATCATCACAGGGAAGTGCTTAAAGCTCCTCCGTGGGACGACTGCATGTCTTTCATTCAGCAAATAATTATTCAGTGTCTGTGGCAGGAACTGTTAAGGCAGTAAACGAAGTCTTTGTCCTTATAGACCTTGACATTTATAAACAAGTCAATGCACAGTGTGTTTATGGAGATAAGTGCTTGAAGACAAATGAAGGAGTGAAGGTAGTGCGAATGGAGGGGGCGGTTTTACAAAGCGTGGTTGGGGAGACCTCAGATAGGAGATGTTGTTTAAAGTGGCAGTGCGTTTATTTGTTTCTGTGTCTCAGTATCTAAAAGAAATGAAAGCTGTGATTGATAACGATGACATACGTGAAAAAATGTTCTTACAGCTTAGGATGCGGCATTGGATATGGTTATTTGCATCGAATACCTACTCGCCCATTTGAAGAAGGGAAGAAGATTTCTCTTCCAGGACAGATGACCGGTACACCTATTACGCCTCTTAAAGATGGGTTTACAGAGGTAAGGCAGCTCCATGTCCCTGAGTCACAGAGTTTCCGCCAAAGCAAGTCCAGTGTGTTGACGTACTTGGCGGCACTAGTAGGGATAAAGCAGATGATGAGTTGCATGCAGATCAGGTGAATTTGAGGTGTCTACAAGTCCCTAGAAGGAGGGTAGATGTGTGAGCCTGGTTTTAGGAAAGAGACCAGGGTTGGAGATGCAGAGTTGAGAATTATCGACAAAGAGGGTAATTTACGCCAGTGGATGTTGATAGCAGTTGTCAATGGGTTGGATCTGGGTAGGTCAGAGGATGAAATTGGAATCCAGAATCTGGGATGGGCAGAGAAAGGGGTTTCAACAAGGAAGCTCAGGAGGTGTCTGAGGGAGAACAAGGCTTCATGGCAAAGGGCACTGTCAGGCACTGTGGGGAGGTCAGTGAGGGGGCAGATCTGTGAAGGGCAAGAGCAATTTCAGAAACTTGATATGGTGCAGGTACCAGGGTGCAGGCGATGCGGAGTGGGCAGTGGGTGGTAGATGATACCGGCCGGTGTTACTGTGTTAGGACCCTTAGGAAGGCAAGAGGGGCAAGGTGGGTGCAGGTGGAGGGGTCCTACAGGGTCAGACAGAAGCTTTTCAAGGAGTAAGAGGTACTTGAGATATAAAGATACTTGAGTAAGAGATACTTGAGAGGCTTCTAGGGTTTTTAAATGCTTCTTATAGCTGTATCCCAGGACCGTTAACTCCTCTCTATAATGAAATAAAAACTAAACACTAACAAAGAAAATCCTTTAGTTGGAAAGACAGGGCTGCTGTCACTGTCATTTTATGGTACCCAGTTTGGCCATCCCTGACTCTAGGGGAGGTGAAGGGCATCACCTCTCCACTCCCCACCCCAACCCTTGGCTCATGGCAGAAGCCAGTATAATTACATGTTCAGACCCAGCCACTTTCTGCCACCCCCAAGTCTGATTTCTGCTCCAGACGAGCCTCTGCAGGCAGTTGGAGACCAGAGCATGAAATAGCAGCAAGATATGGGGCCAGAGCACAGGCTGGGTCAGAAAGTACCGTGGGGCACTGGAGCCGTCAGAACTAACGCTTATGTGCAGTCCGTACAGACTCTTTTTCGTCCGTCTCTCCTCTGGCTGCCACATTTATCCATTGATGAGAAAAGACGAAGTGGATTCATGAGGTTAGAAATCTTGACAAACATTTAAGAAATCTGTCATGGTATTAAGACTTCCAGCTGACTTCATTCATGAGCCGTGAAAGTTAAAAAAAAAAAAAAAAAAAAAAAAAGACTAAAG